ATAAGATGTCTTTCTGTAAGAAATCCAGCTTGCTTGGATTTCTAAGTCACATCATCCTAGACTGTAAATTATCTAGAGAATTGTAACCACAGAACTCACTGTTGGTCTGTGTTCAGCTACTCTCCTTTACATTGACTTTCTACACAATTGTAAGTTTCGAGTTAAATTGGAAGGTGGGATAAACTGCTGTCAGGAAGCTACTGTTCTTTACAACATCTCTTTCTTTGGAAAGGTCTACCAAGTTAGAAAACTAATAATACTTCTTTCTTTTAAGAGAGTGGTTCTGTTCCATTGTTTTAACACACCCATCCTCTCTTCCATCCTAGGGTATGGCCTTTACCCTTGAAGAGAGGCTCCAGCTGGGAATACATGGTCTTCTTCCACCTTGCTTCTTGAGTCAAGATGTTCAAGTTCTCCGAGTCCTCAAAAGCTACGAGACCAAATCCAATGATCTAGACAAGTGAGCAGAAGTGAGCTGGGGATGTCTGCACAAAGCTTATGGTTGGAGCTGGATGCCAAGAAACATGGATTTTGACACTTCAGATTGCTGTCATTGGCTGCCTTCTGTGGTTGTGGAGAAACTGCTAATAAGCTGGCATCTCACCATGCATTTTGTAATAGGAGGCTAGCTGTTCCCAGAGCAGAGTCATAATTTCTATGCTATCTTTGTTTCCAGCTCCTATTAATGCATCTCTCCAACAGAAATAGTAAATTGACCCCATCTTATCTCTACTGTGTTCAGACATTTTCCCACATAGATAAGGACCTCCTTGCATTATTATTATTATTATTGTATGACCTCTTGCAGTCTCTTATTTAACCCAATATTCTCTGCCATGTTGTAAAAGTGGCAGATAATGTTGAACTTTTTAAAGGACTGCAGGAGGTGGTGCTTTTTTTAAAATGTAGCAGCATCCCTCCAGCATTTGTAAGAGGAAAAGCACACCTTTCTCCCTGCCTGGCCCTTCAAAAAACCTGGAAAAAATACCAAGTCTATCACAAAACATTAACTAAAAACAATTCAGAATAATGATGTCTCTTGTTTTGCATCATTTATTCCTCCATAGTTACTGTTCTGTGTACTTTAATCTACTTTTCTGTGTACTGGGAGAAGACCGGAGCTATCCACTATAAATCTTACCCTAAAGTGTTAGGATGAAATCCAGCTTTAATCCTACTTTAAGTACATTTATTAAAATCAGTGGCAATCATTTAAAAAAATCAGCAAGGTGATCAATGTCCCTTATGTACTGTATGGTTCCCTTCACTTTTAGTGAAAAAGCCCTCCCTTCACCCTCTATAATTATCGGCTGGTCTCAAATATTCCATTCTTGGTATGGTGTCTGAGAAACTGGTAATTTTGCAGGTCCAGGTACACTTGGATGGAACTGATTTTCTGGACTCATTTCAATCAGGGTTTCATCTGGGGTATAGCACTGATTTTGCCTTGTCATGTTGGTAGATGATCCACTCCAAAAGCTAGATGGAAGGAATGTGACCTTGACAGCAATCTTGCATATCTCAGCAGCTTTTAGTATTACTGACTTAGATACACTTCAGTGTCTTTTGGCTTTAGGAGCATTTTTGAAGTAATTCTGGTCCTGCTGGACTATGCCCAGAAGATAATTCTGGGGGAACTGCAGTACTTAAGTAATTTACTGTAGGTGTTCCTATGTTGTTTAACATCTACATGAAACCTCAGGGCGAAGTCACTTGGAGCTCTGGAGTGAGGTATCATCAGTGATTACATCCAGGTCTACTGCTCCCTACCTTTCAACTCTTGAATCAGAAGTTTCTTTGATTCTTCAAACTTTGAACTCTTGAAGTATTCTTGATTCACTGCCTAATCTCAGTAACTGGCTAAATGAGAAAAAACATGCTGAAATCTAGAGGAGACAGAGGTGCTGTTTGTAAGAAAAAAGACGGATTTTGGGACTGATGTGATACTGTATGGGATGGGATTGTAGTCCTCCAGAAAGAGCCAATTTGTCATTGGGGAGCATGGTGCTCCTTGACATCCATCTGTATGAATGTCAAGGTGGCTGTGGTGGCAACTAAGGCCGATGCACCAACTCCAATCCTGATTCCGTTGTATTTAACAACAGTTATTCATGCCTTGATTACCACTGCCTTGGATCTGAATGGTTGAATTGCCACAGATCCCCACCACAATGTCCCATCTTAAAGGTCCTTGGTTAGTTTAATCTGCTTGGGGTTTTTCTTTGGCCATTTTTTGCTTTACTGTGTCTTGTCTCTGGCCAAATCTGGATGTTTGCATCCCTAATCAGTCCCCTTAATAAAAACTAGGACAAACTCTTGTTGACCTGGCTGAAACTTTTTCAGATCTTTCAGAGTACTGGATGAATTGCCCATGCGTGTGTCAACACCACTTTTCATCTCTTCCTTTTCTTCTGTCCTTTTTCAGATACATCATCCTTATGACTCTGCAGGACAGAAACGAGAAACTGTTTTACCGGGTGCTCACATCTGACATAGAAAGATTCATGCCAATAGTGTACACTCCTACGGTGGGATTGGCTTGTCAGTTGTATGGCCTAGCTTTCAGACGACCTCGGTGAGTAGATAGAATTGTTTTTATCTTGCTTCTGCTGGCTGCTTCTCACTTAAAACTTCCATTGGCATTAAATGTTCCCTATTTGCTACCTGTCTTTCTGTGGGTGGTCTCCAAGAGGAAGGAAACACACAATCCTTGATGCAACTGTCAGACAACCTGGTGTGCATTTGTATTCCTTTAATGACAAATGGGAAAAGTCTTACTTCTAAAATGAACAAGAGCACTTTTGTTTGAGAGCAGTACAGTACAGTTCACTCTGCCTGAGGTTAATAACAAAATGTGACTCTGAATTCTTATTTACACTTCATCAAATCTATAACTTTTAAAATTCTGATAGTCTTGCAGGGTAATCACTGGTAGTAACAGTACTTATTAGCAATATATATGTCCTTCCTTCCTTCCTTCCTTCCTTCCTTCCTTCCTTCCTTCCTTCCTTCCTTCCTTCCTTCCACAAAGCCAAAAATTATTTCACTTTTTTTCCCCTGCAGATTGTTGATAAGAGATTTGTCAGCATCTGGGTGCAAACATCCAGATTTGGCCAGAGACAAGACACAGTAAAGCAAAAAATGGCCAAAGAAAAACCCCAAGCAGATTAAACTAACCAAGGACCTTTAAGATGGGACAGCTGAGGAGTCCACTAGCAGGAATAGCCAAATGGCCTTAGGGAAGTCAGAGCTTTAAAGTTTCAGTTTATGGTAAAATGCATTTCCTCTTAGTCAATTATTGTTCTGCATTCTTTTTAGAGGATTTTTTTTCCTAACCTTGGAGATGCTCCTTCAAATTGAGCTTGAATCCTGATGTCTTCACGGATGCATCTACCTTAGGAGTAGATGTTTCTTCCCTTACCAATCTAAGGTCTGAAGAACATGTTCTTCTTTGTCCAGCTATGGTGAAAGCTGGTTGGGAGAAGGGAAAGGATCAAGGTGTATACTTTTATAGAATTGCCACTCATACTGGTCAATAACCGTAATAAAATTTATTATTTATTATTTGAATATTGAAGGAAAGTATCTTCTATGACCTTACCTCCCTACCCAAGACATTTAAAGAGAAAGGGGGAGATTATTTTCTGGGCTCTTTCACCAGCTTGGTGGGATATTCCTCTTTAGACATTCATTCCATAGGCAGCATGATGTTTTACCAGCATTACTTTTTTTTCCTGGGTTGGTTTCATTAGATAATTGGTTTCTCTGTTTTTCCCTCTGTCTTATTTTTGTTTTGCTTTTAAGTGAAAGCCGGCTGGGTTACTTTGGGCCAGTCCCTCTCTTTCACCCCAACTCACCTCACAGGGTTGTTGTGGTGGGGAAAATAGGAGGAGGAAGGAGTATGAGGTATGTTCGCCGCCTTGAGTTATTTATAAAAATAAGAAAGGCGGGATAAAAAAATTTAAAAAGAAAGTTATTGGAATTCTGCACTAATTTTAATTCTTGTCAGCCTCTTTGAGTGGGGTATATGGATTTGAAGAGCGACGTGGGGGGGGGAGGCGTGGAGTGGATTTTGAATTTGGGGTTTTTATTCTTGTAAGCCGCCAGAGTCACCGTGAGTGAATTGGGCGGCTATATAAATTCCTTAAATAAATAAATAAGTAAGAAGGTATACAAATAAACCTGGAGCCAAGTGGATTTTGACACAGCACTAAATTCATCACCGTTTCTTTCTTTGCAACAGTTGTCTTTCAGCATATGTTGGGCTAAGAAATAGAGTCTAACCCTTTAGGATTCATAATTCAATCGAAATGGGACTCTGCACTTTCCTAGGAAATACAGTGCCTGTGTCAGTTTGGCACCTTCAGAGATGGAGGGACTTCAGCTTTCAGAATTCCTAGATGTTGCCAGCTTGAAATTCTAGGACTTCCTGTCCTAAATTGAGAAACACTGGTTCATATCTCAGTCAGGACTCAGTGTATTTAAAGCTCTCTCAATATTTGTCTATAGATTGCAACCTGGTAGGTAAGAATTACAGAAAACTTTGTATCCTGTCAAAACAGCAGCAAAAAACAATGGCTTCTTCATTGCTTCATTTGTATTATTAAACAGTGGCACAGTAGTCCAACTGGAAATATCCCATTTCAAATTTTATCAGCTCTGGGCAAGTTATAAAAGTGGTTGTTTCTGTGCTAGGAAAGACAAGGTTGTTTAAATGATGGTGGTATATTTTAAGTCATCTCAGAACAAGAGCCCTTGAAAATGCCAGTGTTGGTCCAGTGGAAATTCTTTTTTAAATTATTTATTGCAGCCATGACTTACCAGACTATTTAAGAATGTTTATATATTGCCTACTCCCTTAACAACTCTGGGAGCCTCGCAAAAAAATATAATTTACATACATTAAAGATGGATCTAAAAGTTCATAAAAGTAATAGTAAAGTAACATTGTAACAGTAATCATGATAGATTGATGATCGTTCAATAGATGATGACATGATAGAACTAAAATACAGTGGTATCTCGG